CGGCTCCGGCCGCTTCACCACGCGGTAGCCCTTCCTGGCCCTGCTGTGGTTGCGTTTGCCCGCGGGCGACGCGACGGCCGCGATCAGCTCGTCCTCCCGCAGGGAGATGAAGGGGGATAGCCCGTCCAGAGGGTAGTACTGCTGGCTCTCCTCCTGGGTCTCCAGCAGCTCCTGGGTCTCCGCGAAGTCCATGCGATACCCGTCCCGGGGGCTGAACTCCACGGGCTCGAAGGTCCCGTCCTTGCTCTGGTTGCTGCTGGGCGGTGGGTTCAGCATCGTAACCATCAGTAGCACGAAGCCCAGCATCAGCAGCAGCGAGAGGAACTGCAGCTTTCGTGACCCATATCTGCACTTCTTCCTCAAGAACATACTGTTGGTGACAAAATTATACAGATGGTCATGTTAAAATATCACTGGGATCCTTCTCAGGCTCCGGTCCTCGGGTTGCAGCAAAGCCCTGGTTTTCACGATCTGCCAAGAGGATTTCGCTGGTGCCGTTTCATGCTTTCTATTTGCAGGCAAAATATAAAAGCCTTATTAATATTGCACTTACTGTAGTAAAATGCAGCATGGATCCAGTGAGATGAAGTAGATCCTTTATTTTACAGCGTCCCAGCTTGGTTAGAAAAGCGCAGGTTTAGCTGATGAAAGGAGAAACTAAAGTTTTGCTTTTTTTCCTTTTAAAATTCTAAGTGGAAAAGAAATTCCGTTCCTTATAGTTTCCTTCCAGGGGAGTTGTTGCTTCTTCAAAGTTTTCAGCTGCCGCCCGGGTCGAAGCGCCTTATCTCTGAAAGCAGATCTGACAGCTCTCCCCCGTCCTGAGGCTTCGAGTTAACTGTGATCAACAGATGAGAACGAGTCGGTCCCTGACTTTGTTTCACACATAACTACAGCACTCAGCCAGGAAGCACTTTGCCAGACATAATACAGAGCAATGTGTGCGTCTTTCTCTTGGTCCTAATGCCCTCACCGCTCTTGTCCTATCGAATCAAAACTTTGCAAACGCTGTAAGAGGTGAAATACAAGAAGCAAAACATTGCATTATAGAAGAAACCAAGGCACACCACGAGCTGCTCTACTTCTGAATAGCCGTATTAAGCTGAGAATGCTCAGAGCAAGAAGCAAGAATTTTACAAACTGAATAAAAGATGGAGTGCACATGATTTATTTAAGGTTAGATTTATTCATATGGTGATGTGCTAGCTGGAGTATATGGGTGCATTTCATTTTCAATAAATATTTACAGCTGTAGGGATTTTAACATTGACATAAAGATGCCAAATTATCACCTGGCAGACTGAAGTTGTCTCCTCATCCATAAGTTTGGTATTGCAGGGCAAAGCAGCACTTCAGGTTTTCCTTAGTCCAGGAATAACATGTAGAAAGCCCAGACTGGAACAACAACTACTGACACTGAAAGAAAATAACTCCAGTGATTAAAAGGAGAGCTCAATCTCTGAGGTCTGTTTGCTAATATTGCTGGCCCTGGTGGTAGTGGACATGGACTGTGGCATTTTTTTTCTGTGAGATGGATGCTTGTCCAATGGGAAAAGTGGTCAGACCCTTCCCGTGCTGCAGCGTCACACACTGCTTGGTCTGGCAGAGATCAGGTATGCATGGAACTCAGGTGTTAACAATCCTTTTGATGCTGGGGGAATAGGGTGTGGTTGTTTTGCATACCTGGTAATAGTTGATGAGCAGAAAGCTCCAGTCCCAGGAGGCAAGTGATTACTGGAGAACTTCCACATTTGACTTTTGTTAAAATGTATGTTTCTAGATGTTATAGGTAAAAGAAAAGCCTAAAGACATGAATGCATTATACCCTAAGGGAGTGAAGGATTGTGGTTGTTTTTGTTTGTTTGTTTGTTTGTTTTTGTGATTCTTACTCATTGCTTCCCTGTAAGATGTTCTGTAGGTTCAGCCTATGGTTCCTGGTAAGCAGCTTCCAAAAAAAAAATTAGAAATAAGAGGGCACCTACTTTCAAACTAAAATGAGTCATCACCTTCAGAAGGAAGCATGGGATAGAGCACCTTAAAAGTGCTGGAGGCACATAGTGTCTCTGGCCTCTGTGTGTGCTCCCCTGTCTTACAAGGAAAGCAGTGAGGTAGTGTGGTCGGTCTGCTGTATCTTTGCACTTTCCTTACCTCAGCTGTTCTTTAAAATGTATAATACTGCTTTAATCATATCTTAGGTAGAAGGAAGTTTTAGCCAGTATTTATATACTACACCATTGTGTGTGTCTCTCTTTTTTCGCTTAAATTCACGGAAAAGTAATATCCCAATCCACCTTTGGCCCTGAGAATATTACTCTGTCCTGTTTTTCACAGGGAAAAAGAAGTGTTGATGTTCTCAGTTCAGTAGGGAAGCAGCACACATATGCATTAAAAAAAATCTTGAGACCACATGCATTCATTTAAATAACAATCTATGTCAGCCATAGAAACACAAAATGAAATGGAATGACACCTGTCCGAGGTGTCTGCAAAAAAGCTGGCACCAGTGACTTGCAAAAGGTTCAGTTCCAGAGTCCTATAATCAGGCATATGGAAGAAAAGAAAATAAGAGAAAATTCAAGGAGAAATTTAAGAATGTGTGGAATAAATGGGAGCTAATATGACAGGTTGTTTTGGTTTTTTTAAAACTTCTCTGATATAAAAAAGTATTTTGATTTAATTTAATTAATATTTTTGCCCTGGCTAAAATATTATAGCAGGATGCTGTAACAACTCTGATCAAGAGAGCCTGCAGTGGTAACTGTTGCATAAATTCTGTCCTGGTATGTTCTGTGTTGCTGGGCAAATCTATCTGGACCACTTGTGCAACTAGGTTCCAGCTACAGATGAAAAGAGACCCAATTAACAAATTTACAGTGATCTTGCTACTCTTGGGATCGATCTGATAAGTACCATTATCACTGAAGCATATGCATATGGAACCTGGCCTGTGAACATATCCTGCCAATTTTAACAAAGAAGAAAATTAACAATCACAGAAGGTATTTGGAGGTAAATCTTGTTAGTTAAATGTGCAAGTATAAAAAATAGTGGGTGGGACACTTACAGCAGCCTGTACTCCCTGTCCACGCACCTCTCTGTTGAATGTTTCTCACAGCCATCCCCAGTTCTGGACAATGATCCTTCCTGAACCATCACGTGTCAAACAGTCTGTTTTCCAACCTCATCCATTAAATATGAGCCAGGAAAGCACTATGGTTTTCCACTGCCAGCATACAAAAGAGGGACTGTCTTTCCAATGGATGAGCCCTTCAGAGTCTTAGAGGACATGTCTGGTTTCTGAAATGCACTTGAAGAACAGCATCGGTTTCTTAGCACCTTCCCACCCGGGGAAGACCACATTCATTGTGTTTTTTTTCTACCTGTGGTTACTAAAAATCACAGTACAAAGCAGGCCCTTCACTGGGACACAGAATGGGTTGTTCCTCCTGCCTAGCTGCAGGTGAGTCCCTCTCCCCAGGCATCCTAGGACACATTCCTGTGCATCCTTTGATGGAAGAAGAAGGAGCACTGATTGTCCCAGGCTCTACCTTCAGGCCTAGAGCTACTGCCTTCTTCTCCACTTCCAGACTCAAATGCTACTTCATGCAGGTAGCCCACAGAAGAGGCTGCTCACAAAAGTTACTGTTGTCCTTAGACTGCTGTTCTTCAAGAGACTCTAAAGCTCCTTACTCAGTGGGAGAGGAACATATTATAGGCTGTGCCAAATACTTCAGCAATTGCTCCAGAAAGGGCCAACCCCTGGTGCCAACATTGACCAGTGCCAATATTGTGTTGTCTTTTCTGCTGGTCAGCCTGTGCAAGTGCTGAAAGACTTGGGCTCCTACCCAGTCCTGCTCAGACAGACCCGGTTGTGGAAGGTACACATGCCTTCAGTGAACACAAAGTCCATCTATTGATTCCTCCGTTCTTTAATGCTAGCTTATGCCTCTGATGGATGAGGAAGAAAATACCACCCTTCACTGTTGCAAATTTTGCTCACTAATTGCCAAGACCTACAACATGAAATAAAATCTAGGTTGTCTTACTCATTTGAAAAGTATTAGGAAACATAGTTGCCTTCTCCAGAGTAATAAAACTTTCAGTCACTGCGGTGTAGCTGTTTGTACTTACCCTTTCCTCCCCACCTCATTTTGGCTCACGTTCTTATCCAAACTATTTCCCATCACATACTTGTTAAATATTACGTGACATGTTATGTTATCCGTATGTGAAGAAACAGCACATAGTTTCAATGTGCAGAGCACGTACGTAACTGCCAGGAAAATAACAAAGAAAGAACAAAAAATAGGCTTGGTGGAAGAAAGAGCGTGTGGACAGGTTGTTACTTACTCTTTAATAAACATCTTGGATTGATTTACACTCCTGTGCCAAAAGCACATGTGCCACCTTCCATTTAAAGGCTCAACATGTAGCAGCACTCATGGTTTCGTAGCTTGTATTATATGCCACAGCTCTTTGTGCACTGTAACTATGGCTTTATTTGCACAGATGTGAAGAAAGTGCATAAAATGAGACTGATTACATGGTCCTTAGGATTTGTGGTCATTTTCTAATCAAGTAATTTCCCCATTCTTCCCAGGATACAATAGGAATGACGTATTTTTAGATTATCACAAGATATAATTTCTTTGCAGGTGTTGCAAATATTTTGTGTACTTGGCGTTGTCCCAAATATTGTTCATGCAATTACATTTTCTAATGGTAATAAAGTTAATAAAAAATTAGAACAAGATTCTGTGGAACTTAGCTTTGGAGGCTATCAAGGCTTAATAAAGTCTGTTTGATCATTGGTGGGGATTTTGGCACTAGCATTGAGATTTATGTTTGCCAAGCTGTCAGTAAAGGAAATGCATCTGAAATTCTGTTTTTATAAGATTTCTACTCATAAATCACAGGGCCAATGTAAAACAGAGCATGGAAACCATAGACCTTTGCACTGCTTTGCAAAAGCAGTTCTGTGGGCATGAAGGTCAGCAGCACTTCATAGGAAGTGGAGGGAATATATCACAGGGGTGATATTCTTCTGGATTTACTGCACCATAGCTGCTGGCTTACTCAGGACTTGAAGAGCAGTAATGTGTCCTCCGTGATTGAAACCTGGCCTCCAACACAGCCTTAGACAGTTATCAGCTATCTGTGAGGGGTGAGACTTTTGATCATTATTAACCCATCTAGAAATGATACATCTCGTGCACTATGGGCAGTACACATATCATTGCCACCTCCTGTTCTCAACCACTATTAATATCCTTAAGCTGGAGAGGGCTCTGTATACCTTCAATACCTTGTACCCCAACCCAAGGTAACCTGAATCCAGCCCTAAACTGACTGGGACTATTTTAGTGTTAACATCCTTCACTAGAAAACCATCCCATGTTGACCATAAAATCTAACCCACCATTAGAGACAGAGGGACATGTTTTGAGCTGGCTCTAAATTGCTGTAACTGCACAGGTGGACATGAAAATAAGGTGGTTTGCTTTTTTGAAGTGGGTAGCCTGGCCTCTTAGGCTTTAAAAAAGAAGCAAATGATGTAAGGGAAATTAATTTCTCATGCAATATTAACAATATCAGTAGAGTTACTTCAGGGATAAATTCAGCCCTATGGGTGGAGGGTTCCAAGAAGGAAATCTCCACCGCAGGTTCCCACTGGGGAACTCTGCCTGTAGAGTTTAAACTGTGGTGAGAATTTTACTTCCACAGAACAGTCTATGAAACCATTTGCAAACAGAGCATC